TCCTACTGTTTAGGGTACTATATTCAGGTTCCCATGTCGGCATAAACAGGTAGCAGTAGTATGCCTTAGTATAAAAAGAAGCAACCCAGAACCCAGCTTCAAGCGTTGCGGTCCCTATATTTCCTAAATATTATCTCAAATGTCGCTACAAATACGATGCATGTCGATGAGGCAAGACACTCGACTCGCACGTCGTAGTCCTCTTCAGGGCAGCCACGATTTTCTGGCATAACCCCCCATGGTCACTGGCACTGCAAAGCCGCTCTTGAGACGATTAGGCGGCTAATTCCCAGCTGTACCCAAGGCTCCTTATTGCCCGGATAGGCCCGGATGGAAGCTAGCAGCATCGCGCTGCTGGCCAGACTTGACAGCACACAGACCACTACCAACCTTAGCTCTCAAGAGTCCAGATGGATTTCTTCGCCAATGACAACTTGAAATCATTGCGAGCTTGACAAGAAACTGCAAAGCTGAGCTTCCATGAGTACTGTACACCCCTGATGGATAACACTTTCTTACGAGCCTGGTTGTGGGATCGCTGTTGTGTTCAGTGTAAGAGCAGGGAGGCTACCCAGAAAGGTGCCAAGAAGCGAGGTCGGCACCAGCCATCCAGATTGCTGGTACATTCCAGAGAAATTCCTTGACAGCAATCTCTGATTAGCAGTGATTGACAGTGCCACTTTTTTGATTCATTCTGAGACTATTTGCCATACCACCTCACAACAGTTCATAGCTTGTCATAGTCTAGCAGGGATATGGGAGTTTCCGAAGATGGGAGGTACCTTATTTTGGGATCCTTATAATAAGGATCCTACTATTTACTGGGTGGCGGTTCGGGCCGTGGCCAAAAATATTTTCTCTACTGCATGGTTTGGGTGTGTTCATGTGTTCATCAGACCAATAATAGTCAAATCAAACGGACGTGCCATCAGACCATAGACACACACAGCAATGGGTCCCACTGTTGGAAGTGTTCTTCAGACGACGAATACTCAGACTGGGCAGACCGACCAGCAGCACTGAAACCCAGACGGACCGGCCACGCATGTAAGTGGAGCCCGACAATTTGCGTTCATGACTTCTTTTTTCCCGTCTGACCAGCTGCTGTTCATGACTTCTTTTTTCCCGTCTGACCAGCTGCCGTTCATGACTTCTTTTTTCCCGTCTGACCAGCTGCCGCCCTGCTCACTGCTGTTGCGGCAAGAGGCCTGAGCAAACAGGACAGTGAGAAAATAGTCGTCCTACCATGGATCCCTCTCTCACAAACACGGTGCAGTCCCGCCTGGGGTTTGTTGTTTTCGTCAGGTCATCAGACGACCTGGCCAAACACAGGGCAGGCAACATATACCTGTGAGTGCGACCGTGTTGAAACGGTCCAACCTTGCCTGACTGACCAATCGTCCCAAAGGGACCTGGCCAGCATCATCATGACTGAACCAGCATGCGTAGCTGACCGGCTGACAGACCGATGCACTTTAATTATCATTTACTGCTTCTTTCTTTTCCAAATCTCACACACAGATGATGCCACTGCCGTGAGATGACTGCTGCAACAGATACTGAATCTGACCTTGTTTGTCAGACCAAACTCCTGCTGCAGCACCCTCCCCCCAAAAGCGCTGCCAATGTTGGCAAGAACCCGCAGCTTCTTCAGCTCAGTAGTCTGACCTGGCGCTCTGCTACTAGACCTTCCAGGCGGTCCACGTCTTCCTGCAACCTCTTGTTGCTGGCTGTCCTTGGCTATCACAATACATGATCATCATCATACCGTCTTCAAGACTGAAATAAAACATGAAGTACAAACAAATAATAAAACATGCGCCGTGGCACAGATCCTCCACTTCTCCGACCTTTTCGTGATACGCCTCCTTGAGGTGTCTGTTCGCACTCCTGAGTGACCATGAAAGCACTGAATAATAAAAAGCAGCCCTCGCACAATGCTCCACTTCTTGCTGCTTTCGACACATGCCGAGCAGCCCCAGCTTGAACACACAGTCCTCGAGCGTGGCATTTAGTCGGAGCAAGTCTTTCCTCGGAGTTACGAAATGAAAACTGTGTTATTGTTGTCGTGGCAGACTAATGATGATAGTCAGTGCTGACTAGACTCAGCCTTTTTTTGTCAGCATCCGCCTGCTCCAGTCGGGCCACAAGCTCCTTTTTCTCTGCTTCCAACTTCTCTATCTGACCGGCCGAACGACGGGATCTGACCTTGTTCTGGCGATTCTTCTCTGCTTGTCTTATTTGAGCACGCCTCTTCTCCGACACCGGCTTCTTCATCTTCACTTGCACCAGTTCCACGTCCTCCTCGTCCGACCCTGCCTCCTCCTTTACCGGGTCGAGCCTCTCCTGCTTGACAGGAACCATCGCACTGATGTTCTCCTTGTCATTGTCGGACCCGGACATGGCTGGAGACAGACAGACCACCAAGACGAAGTCTCGAGCAGACAGAAATTGGAAAGAGAGTGAGAGAAGCGTGTAGCGGCAGCTGCCTGTCATCATGAACAACATCACACACATGTGGCAGAGGCGACGGTCCAGCATCGTCTTTTTGTCGTACTTTGCATTTACTGCACACTGTAGCCTGCTCCGACCCAGCAGGCGCCCCGAAGGCAAGGCTGTGTGGCTGGACAGGTCAGGCCGAAGCAGAGTTCCAGTTGAACAATAACGAAATAATACAGTGTCCTATCACTATGTTGACGATGACGGTATTATAGCACTAAATAAATAAGAAGAACAGTCTTCATTCATTGTCAATTACTTACCCACTACTCTGCCGTCAGGCCTGGCTGACGGCTGACTTGTCAGGCCTGCTGCCTTGTCTTTCTTTTCTTAGATGTCTTTGACATCAGACCCATGCTGCTGCGGTCATACTTTGCAGGAGCATCGAAGATCGCCTTGAGTCTTGTTCGCAAGACAGGCGTTGCATCAGGCGCTGCCTGACCAATGAAAGGATTCTTCATAAACCTTTCGCGGTCAAAACTGCGCACAGTTCGCAGAAACGCAAGAGCATCCGACCAGCTGCCCAGGAGCACTTGGTCAGGCCCCGTCTTCGTGGAGCCATTGGTGACGGTCCACTTGCTGCTCTCGTCCTTCGACAGAGTAGTCAAGGCTTTCGCGAACTCCTTGTTGTCAGACCGAAATCCAGGTGTCATGACAAGCTCCGCTCTGGTGGTGATGATGGCGGACCTGTGCTTCAAGATGTGCCCGCTTGGCCGGCACAACCTCATAGCAGCATACTCGCGTCGAGACACGACTGAGAGACCATAGGCGACCATACCAAGCTGCAGCACAAGCAGTGCGCTGTTGGGTCTGACCTCATGGGCTCGGGCCATGTGCACGTCTCTGGTCAGATCATCGACGACCACCACGCTGGCGCCCTTGAGAGACTTGAAGTCTCTCGTCTGACCAGGCTTCCATCTGACCACAGCGGCGTGCTGCTTGTCTGGCCACTGGGTCGCAGTCGTCGTACCATCGATGACCTTGTACTGGCCTGCTTTCGATGGCACGACATGTTTTGTTGTCGGACCCAAAATCTGACCAGTGCGCCGCTGCTGCAGACACCCACGTCCGACCATGAGCTGCTGCCTCTTCTTCTGTGTCTCCTTGTTGAAAGCCTTGAGCTTGTCGTTGACATCGCGTGGTCGGACCAGGAGCTTGGACAACCGGGTTCCAAGAACCGATGTCTGACCAGCCCTCGCCCGTGGATCGCTCGGTTGACTCTCAACCAAGAGCTTCACGGACGCGTTGCGTCTCTCAACAATGGACCGGTCGGACCCCGGCTGGGGTGCTCTTTTGATGCCCTTGTCAGACCTGACACGGTAGACGCAGAACCTGCGGCCAAATCGTTCCAACCAAGTCGAGGCCCACTCTCTGGTCCAGTCTGTCAAACCCATATGTTCGGCGTCTCTCTTGCAGACCTGATCGAGCTCGGTTGGGCCATCGAGCACGATGCTCAGCAGCTGGTCGATGGTCGTACCATTGTCGAGCAGCGGCCCACAATGTTTCTCCAGCAGAGACCGCGTCCGCCCAATGTTCTGCTCCACAGCCACGCTGGTGTGCTCGACGCTGACATACCACAAAAGAAGAGGGCCACACCACTGCAGTTTGTTCACGTTTGTCTGACCCCACAGCAGACGATTGTCTGGTCTTTCGCCGCCGCTGCTTTCCATGAAGCGTCTGCGGCGAGGGAGCAGCTGCAGGGCCTCTCCGGCCAGCTCTTCTGCCAGCGCCTTCTCTTCATTGGGTCCGTCCGCCAGCTTCTGAGGCCTATATGCTCGCGCAAGGCGAATGGCCCGTCGGGCCAGGCTCTCTTTGGCTTTCTGGGCCTCCTCAATCTCACCTCTTGACATAAGCCGACTGACCTTGTCCCACTGGCCAAGATCGAAGACAGAGAAGTCCATGGTCAGGCCACTGTCCGGAAAGTCCACTTTCAGTCTGTCCTGGGCTGTCGCGTGGGGTTACACTCAGCAATAATAGCCCCAAAACTGCAAATCGACTAGTGCAGGCAAGCAACGGTCGCAGCTTGCGCCACTCTGACCATCGAGGAGCTGACAGTTCTGACCTCCTCCATGGCATTCGGGTGCCAGAGCATGTGGGCCTTGTTCCCCAACATGAAAGGTGGGCTTTCCTGACAGACCATGATGGCCTCAGCAAAGTAGCTGTGATTGCCACCATCTGCTTCAGCCATTATCTGACCTTCAATGTAGAGCTTCCTGATTCGGACCAAAAACTCCTGGACGTGACTTTTGGACAGTGACACATCGTGGTCGGTTTTCTCAAAAAGCTTGACCAGGTGACCAACATCTTGCCCCCAGTCGGCACTCAGTCCGGCCAAGGCCGCATGTCTCGGACCCATGTCCTGTAGACGCTTCGCTGCTAGCAAACGATCCTCGGCCTCCAGCCTCACATCACTAGCTCTGACCGAGAGCAACAGTGCAAGGGCGCTCTGAAGCACTACATATCGTCGTTGTGGACAGACCGTGGATTCCCAACGGTGTGCCGCAAAGCTCAAGTGCCTGAGAATCTTGGTCAGGCCAGCACCCTGCTTACCGTTCTCGTCCAGTATGAGCTTCCTTATCGGTCTGAGCAGCCAAGCAAGTACTGCGTGAAGCATTTGCTGCAGCATGCATGACAGCAACTGGCAGTACGTGTTATTAAAAGCCACGAAGCTGACAGGCCATCAGCTCGAACCTAATCTTCTCTGAGTGCTGGATCTGACCGACCAAGGACTTCTTGGGTCGAAGATACACGTCCCACCACCACTTTTCGAACTCTTCCTCCAGCTTTGCCGGCTTGCCACAGGAGATTCGGACCAGGTGGCACGGGTCTCTGCCAAGAAAGCTCACGTTCTTCAGACCCTCTTGCAAATAGGCCAAACCTTTCTGCATGCTGGAAGCCCCGTCTGCCGTGATGCTCAGGATTTTTCGACAGACCAGATCATACCTCGGCAGAGCAGGAAGCATAGGTAGCAAGACTCACCACCAACAATGAACTCCTGTGGCACGTATATGTTTGTACATTCCTTTATTGTTTTATATGTTAGGTGTATTTAGAAAGCCGGTTGCACATAAGGGTTTCCAGGGGCTGTCAAAAACCCGAAATATTCTATTTAGGGTCTAAATATCTTTCAAAATATTCTA